TCTCTCTCTCTCTCTCGCTCGCTCGCTCTCTCTCTCGCTCTCTCTCACTTTATCTCTCTCTTTCTCTCTCTCTCTCTCTCTTTCTTTCTCTCCTTCCCTCTTTCTGCCGTACACACACCACAGCGACAAATCACTTACTAACGATATGAAGCTTGCAAAAGCTAATCACGTTGGAATTTCCAGAGACACACGACAAATTCGCGCCGCTAGGGAGCCATGCTCGATTGATCCCATGGAGGGTGAGAGTGCTGTAATAGCCGAACTGGTCTTCACTTGAAATCTCCGCGCTTGCGTGAGAGGGGCTCTCATCAATGCAGCCTCCTGTGGGTCCACTGCAGGTCGATAGGGGAACAAACTAAAAACAAATAAGATACAAATTACACATAAGAGTAACTCAAATGTTGTGAAAATGATGCTTGCGATCGTAACAGTGGAAAAGCGCATGCATGACCAGATCTCACTTTGGCCCGTAGTGACTGATGAGTATTGAGATAAAAATATGCAGTCTCCACTGAGTCAACTGCAAGCCTATTGGAGAACAAACTGCAGAAAGAAATTGTAAAAACTTCGTTTCAAGGTTAAACATTGAGATGTATAGTTGCTAATCCTGCAGACCAAATAGCAATGCATAAAAAGGGGGCGTGGCTCCAGTGGGTGAGTGGTCAGGCTCACAACATGTAGTAATGTCAAGCTTATGTAGGTGGAACGGTGTTTAGGTGAATGGTCACTAGGGCGTTGCGAATTGATGAACAGGGATCGTGAGTTGATTTTCTATGAGTCTGATATTGTATATTATTCACGCATGTATACGCCGTTTGATGGAAACAAGGAAAAGAGTACTGAAAAGTTACATCGAGCCAATCCTATTATACGGGTGCGAAGCATGGACAATCAATAGACAGCTGGAAAGAACAATTGAGGCGACAGAGTTGTGATTCATAAGATGCACGCTGCGTATCCTATGGACAGCTAGAAAAACAAATGAAGAAATCTTGGTTGAAGTAAATTGCAAACGACAGCTTAAGACGAATATACGAAAACGACAGGCAAATTCCATTGGGACACACAAAGCAGGAAGAAGCATTGGAGAATATTGTAACAGCAGGCAAGTTTGATAGAAAGAGAGGCAGAGGCAGACAGAGGGAAAAGATACTGGACAAGATGACTACATGGCTGGGAGCAGCAAGAACAACAAACACCATTGCTGCAATGCAAGACAGATGGAAGTGGAGGTCCATTATCGCCCAAGCCGGTCTGCAAGGCACCGGATGATGATATGCCATCAGACCGCCATCTGGGCAAGGTGCAAATTCCAGACATTCGTTACCATAAAGAATATTGTCCCTATCAACTATCAGAAAGGCAAATAATAAGACACACCCGTACACCTTCCTCGATTCTAAACATATTGACTACCGGTATGTCTCTCCTTCTGGGGCCACAGCATACGCCACAAGTCATCTGAACCTTTCATTCTTTTAACTCTTCTTTTTTTGCTGAAAAAATAATCTCCTCTGCTGATGTATTGGTCATCGTCGGAATTAATGAAAAAAGCTATTATTATCTTTATTATTTTTATCATCATCATCATCATCATCATTATCATCATCATCATCATCATCATCATCATCATCATCATCAAAAGACATCTTAAGCATTTTCTGTTCCTTCAGGCCTATCCTTCATACGCTTTTAACGTTATGTATCTTATTATAGTTGTTCTGTACCTATGTCTGAATGAAAATAGTCCGTGTGTGTGTGTGTTTGTGTGTGTGTGGGTGTGTGTGTATGTGTGTGTGGGGGGGTGTGTGGGG